GTGAGCCAGCTCACAGTTTTTTAGCCCCCAGCCCACACATTTTCGTCTTGGCTCAGGAAGGGATGGCTCCAGAGCAAACTGATGTATGCAGTAGCCAAATCGCTCGCTCACAACTTTAATGCCAGTAGCTCACAAAGCAGAATTTTTGCTCACAAGACTCCACACTGCCTATGAGCCCACTTGAATCGAGGTTCCTGCTGTTCTCAGTTGGCTTTCGATGACGCCTTCTCTTCTCTTACCACCACAAAATTGCTGGCTTGAAGCCTGCCTGGACATCAGAGGCTCCTTGGCCTTTTTGGGGAAGGCAAAATTGTCCAGCAGCTGAACAACTTACAGATGTTTGGAAGGGGCCTTGTTTGTCTCCCTTATTCCTCCGTGAAATGCTGTTCTGAGTCATCCACAGCTTTTCACAACGGAAATGGGAACCAAGGTGGAAGGAAGAGAATATGTCTCCCTTGGGGGGGGGGGGAAGGTTTAAAGCAAATTTGGCTAACAGAAGCTCAGTGTGTATATTTCTACAGAATCAAAACCCTCCTGCCTCAATTGCCAAGGCCAGGTTTTCGAGAGACATTTGGACCCTGCTGCCTTTTCCCCCAAAGGAGACGATTCTCTGTTGTTTGCTTCTTCTTCCTCCTAGAATTTACCACTTCCACCAATTAAACCATGAGCCTGCCTGCATCGAACACAGGGGTCCCCAACGTGGCGCCCGTGGGCACCACAGCACCCACCACCTTTTCTGGTGCCCACTGAGTGTTTTTAGTAAGTGGGTGGGGCCAGGTAAGGCTTTTGCCCAGCTTTGTCAGCAGCTGCCACCACAGCACAAGGATCGACACTGTGCTACTGAAGGTAAGCCGTGGCCATAATTTTGTGGCTGGCTCCGCCTCCTGTGGCTGCCATTTTGTTGCTGCACCTATTCTGAGAGCCAGTTTGGTGTCGTGTTTAAGAGCGGCAGACTCTGATCTGGAGAACCGGGTTTGACTCCCCACTCCTCCACGTGAAGCCTGCTGGGTGACCTTGGGTCAGGCACAGTTCTCTCAAGAGCAGTTCTCTCAGAGCTCTCTCAGCCCCACCTCCCTCACAGGATGTCTGTTGTGGGGAGAGGAAGGGAAAGGAGACTGTAAGCTGCTCTGAGACTCTGAGTGAAGGGCAGGGTCAGGGCTTTTTTTTGTAGAAAAAGCCCAGCAGGAACCCATAAGCATAATAGGCCACACCCAACAACAGAAACTCATTAGCATATCCAGCCACACCCCTGA